GTCTAAGTTTGGTATCACAATGCCCTCCTGTAAACTTCTCTGCTTTTAGGGTCCTTTCACACGAACTTTCATTTTTTTTCATCAGTTCAGTAATTTTTTTAAAAAAAGAGGTTAATCAGTTTACATCAGTTTTTTACATTGGTTCACATCTACTGCCAATGCAAAAATGGTCCACTTGTCCGTTTACATTCGTTTTTCCGTTCTGTTTTTTTAACGGAACAAAAATAGGGCTTTGATCCGTTCCAAAAAACAGATGTTGCCAGATGAAGATGTAAATGGATGTAAACAGATGATCATCCACTTACATCTGTTTTTCCACAGAGATGCACTGAGGTCTGTTTTTCTTCTATCAACGGATGGATGAAAAACGGACAAACGAAAAGCCTTAGTGAAAAGGGCCTTATTAATATTATTATTATAAAGGATTTAAATACACAGCGCTCTACAACATGAGGGCAGACAGTACAATTAGAGTACAATTTCATACAGTAGGAATCAGAGGGCCCTGCTTGTTAGAGCTTACAATCTATTAGGAGAACTATTGCTATATTTTTTAGATTGTAAGTTCCAAGGAGCAGGGCCCTCCTAACCCTCTTGTATTGTTGCTGTCTTGTCTCCCGTTATATTGTAAAGCGCTGAGCAAACTGTTGGCGCTATATAAATCCTGTATAATAATAATAAATATGCATTTTAGAGTACCGCTTCAGCAAGTCAGGCAATCAGGAATTTCTGAAATGCCATTGCTTCCTGTGAACTCTGGACCCCAGACTGCTGCCTCTGAAGAGCAAGGCTCTATGTTGCTGATATACCAGCAGGTCACCTCATTTGGTGGCGCTAATGACAAAAAAGCATACTAGATCGACATTCCAACATTGTCAGCATGTCTGGCTGTCAGGAAATTCCAAGATACTCTTGCTTCCTAAAAACGCCGGACTCCCCAGCTGGCTGCTGTGATGCAGGAGAATGACTGTGTTGCTCATATACCAGCAGGTCTGTTCAGATAGTACAGAAGCATACACTGTGATTCACTGGTCCTGCCTATCAAGCTGCACATTACCTTGGACATACATGAGAAGATATGATAATTCACTTCACAATCTCAGGAGCTCTCCCCATCACTTCATATGCTCATCCATCATTAAGTGCATGCCGGGTAATTTCCCCATGAGCACAGAACACTGGCATATCTATGCTGCATTAAAATTATACATGCTTATTAAACACTTCTCAATTTGATTGGATCAGATGCAAGGCCCACTTCAGTCTTATGATTGATTACCATCTCCCCAGTGAAACGGTTATAGAATTCCTCAGAAATCGTTTGTACTGTGAGTGCAATCTGCCTGAGAGTATGACCAGCTTTTAGATCAGGCTGCTGAACCTTTTAAATAATTTGGTCATGCACATGTAGTGATTGCACCGAGACAATAAATACAGCTGTACAGTGACTGCATCTGCCAATACAAGATTAGATCTTTCATCCTGTGATTTTTATATTGCTGCACATATTGATCAGGTGGACAAGTCATTTGCTCCTCACAGACTGGCAGCATAATAGATGAAAGCAACCAGAAGTGTAATATACAGACCATTTATCAGCATAGCGGTCACAGCTTGCCACCAACAGTACAGGGTCGGCACTGCTGGGTATTATATTAGCCACATCCAGCTAAATTAGATTTTTTCTCCCCATTTCTTACCTCTCATATGAAAAAAAAAAACTTTAACGTTTTGATGGTATTTTACAAAATTCTGCATAAGCCATGCAAACCTGTGTGCAGCCAGCTGGGTTACAGCTTGAAATAGATGTCTCCACATCTCAACGTTTGCCTTTTTCAGATCCTTCTATGCTGAACCAATGTCCCTCCGTTGTTCACACTGTTTTGGCAGACATCCAATGAAGCGTAACAGAACACCATTATAACTTAAAAGATAAGATGCGACAGGAGGTAAATCTGACATAATCAGAAGGACAAGTGTGGTCACCTTCGCTGTTACAATAAGAGGCCCATATTTCAGATGTTCAGTGTAAAAGCCTGCTTAAAGCTAAAGTATGGCCAAAAATCATTTTTGGCCATTTGCATTAAAAAAAAGTTGGCTCTAATGGTGTGACCCATCAATCGCAGATATAGCGGTTTGTTACGTATTATACTGTACTTTTGCTGTTGTGTGCCAGGCCATTCCACTGCCTAAAATCGCCATACTGCCAGGAAACTAGTATGCTGTACACAGCAGTTACGTGGCAAAGCTTTGATACTGTACGTTCCTTGTCTTCCAGAGAAAGGAAAACTACACAGCACAGAAGCATATGATGAAGACGTTTCAGCTCCAACAAGAACCACATAAAAGCTTTCCAAACTAATTCCACTTTTCACTCTCTTGGGCCACTATGGCTGACCTCCTTCTGCAAATATTATTTTGCCTGGATGACTTTGGCTTCACAAATGTCTGAATCTGTAAGTAAGACTGGCCATACTTTAATCATTTTCTTTTTTCATTTAACCAGCAAGTTGAAAAAAGAAAAGAAGAACGGATTCCTCCATCCATACAATTGATGTGGATAGGGGAATCAAAGACGCTATGCTATTTTGTTATAATGTGGCTTTAACCACTAGCCTACAGGGCACTTATACCCCCTTCCTGCCCAGGCTAATTTCCAGCTTTCAGCGCTGTCGCAATTTGAATGACAATTGCGCGGTCATGCAACACTGTACCCATATGAAATTTTTATCTTTTTTTGTGACAGATAGAGCTTTATTTTGGTGGTATTTAATCGCCTTGGGGTTTTTTATTTTTTCTTAAACCAAAAACCACTGAAAATTTTGAGAAAAAAAAAAAAAGTTTTTTCTTAGTTTTTGTTATAAAATTTTGTAAATAAGAGATTCTCCTTCACTGATGTGCGCTAATGAGGCTGCAGTGATGGGCACGGATAGGCTACACTGATGGACACTGATAGGTGGCACGGATGAGGAGGCACTGATGGGCATTGACAGGCATCACTGATGGGCACTGAAAGGCAGCACTGATACATGGCACTGTTAGGACTGGCACTGATAGGCAGCACTGACTGGCACTGATTGGCATTGATAGGTGGCACTGACTGGCACTGATGGATGACACTGAAAGGCAGCTCAGATGGGCACTGATATGTGGCATTGATGTGCACTGGTATGCACGGATATGTGGCATTGATAGGCACTGGCACGTGGCACTGATCGGCACTGACTGCTGGCACTGATGGACTTTGACAGGTGGCGCTGCTGGGCTACACTGAACATTAGGGCACACTGATCATCAGTGCCCTGATGATCAGTGTACATGTCCCCTCTGCGGAAAGCCGATTACCGGCTCTCCTCTCCTCACAAGCTGTCAGCGGGACAGCTCGAGAGGAGAGAAATGCCGATAACCGGCATTTCCGTGTTTACATGTGATGAGCTGTGATTGGACACAGCTGATCACATGACCAAGCCGAAATCTTCTGCTCTTTCCGTGATCGGTGATCCGCTGTGTCCGAGGGACACAGCACACCGCCGATCGCCGTGCTGCGCTCTCCCTGAGCCGTGCATGCGCGGTGAGAATGGGTGGACATCATATGACGTCTTCTCAGAACGAAAGAACCACCTTGCGCCCGTCATTGGACTATATGGCGGGCGGGAGCTGGTTAAAAGGAGAACACAGTCTCTGCATTGGGAAACCCTGGGACACACAGTGGCCACCGCACAAGTATCCTAATATGATCAAGGAGAGACATTTTGTATATACCATAACAGGGGGTTTGATACACGTTCATAATGGACTTCTAATGCCAGGAAGCACTAGCGTATTAGGCATTCATTTTGTGATAGTTGTAATGTCTGTTGGCAAAGATGCCACAACCCCTAGTACCCCTGAATACCTTCAGTGTAAGTGAAAGTACAGGGCAATCTCATGCATGCACAGTGGGGAGTTACCTGTGTCACACCTGGCTCCTACATCCAAGATGGCGGAGCTGGGGATCCGAAGACCAGGAAGAACTGTCTTGAGTAAAGACATCTCTGGACTTCTGGACTGGTAAGTGTCTTTTTATTAAAAGTCAGCAGCTACAGTATTTCTAGCTGCTGATTTTATTCTTTTTTTTAAATGTAATTTTTTAAAAAGGGACCAAACTTCCTTTTAAGTGCCAAGGAGCAGCTAAAATCTATTTCCCTATCTACCTGCCTGAGCTCGCACACTGTCTCCCTACTCTTTAGTGTGCATAACAGCATGGACTAACAGAGCTTAAGAGGAATGTAAAGAACAACTCTGTTATGCACCCTCTGAAAAACACCAGTAAAACCTTAGTGGACCTCTCAGAAACAAACTCAACCTCAGAAAAACAAATTACTCCCTTTCAAAGAGTGAACAGAGAAGTATGGGATCATTTTTTATCACCAAATCATACTTACCTTAGTGGATGCTGCATCTGTCCCCCACCAGCTCTAAGTGTGAGAACTCATCGATCACATGCTCTGACACCACCACCCCCCCACTGTCAGCTAAAAACGGAACACAGGAGTGCAGAATGAACTGCACTCCTGTGATCCTCAGGATAAGTACAGTCAAAACAGCTTTGGCTGTACTTCTCCTTTAAGGCATTTGAAAAGTATATGTATTCATTGAACAAGTCAGAGTGTGTGACTTCTACAGTATATAAAACTAGGAGGGAGAAGCAGTGTGAAATGACATCAGCTTTTGACAGCATTGATGGCAATAAAAAAAAAAGAGCATCTTCTAGAAAATAAATGTAATAGGGTGCCAGCTAAATGAGGATTTTGGACGTGTAAGGAACTCCCTGGCTGAGTGTTGTGCTCATGAGATGGAGCCGGGCGTTAAGTGAATGGCTGGCATAGGATTCTGCCAAGAAAGCTCGAGCAGCGACGTGAGCTAATGCTTATAAAGCACAGCTGGAAGAGACCCAGGAGAACAGGCTGCTTGTCATCAGTGTCATGGAAAATATGAAACCTGTACAGTAAAAGTGGTACCTTGGGAAGTTCTTCAATCTGGTTGGCATCCAAATAAAGCTCCTCCAAGGTTTTCTCGAATGTGAAAATCTCTTTCGGCACCTGTTCCAGGCTGCAGTGAGAGTAGTCAAGCGAGGTCACAGTTTCTTCCTCTCCCCGCAAACACCGGCACGGCACCAGCCGCACAAACAGGTTCCTCTTCGCAGTCATTTTCAGGCACTGGGTAAAACAAAACAAAAAGTTACAGTTAGTATCAGACTCATTCAGGTATTAGGCCCTATTCAAAGCAGTCTTGCCGCCACTTGAATTTGTCATTTCTCAACATACAAAATTCCCATCACTGCTTAGAAAGCAAGATCCCTTCTCCTGCCTGCACACACTGTTAAATACCCATTAAACCACAGACGCTCATCCATGAAAATCCAGCTAGACAAGTTTGGATGAGGTGAAACTCCATGAATATGCATCTTGCGATGATAATAATGAAAGATAACAATGCCACATTGTTGAAAGATTTTCACCACTCAGCAGCCAAAGCAGTACGTTTTTAAAGTTACCTAAAAAGACATATTTAAAGTGACTGCCATCTGCTGCAAGCAGATAAAGGCCAGACACCAGAAATGCCGTCACATATCTGCAGGAGCCACCCTGTACCCTGATATGAATAAATGCTGGGCTGTTTTCATCCTAATAATGAGCCAATATGGGAACGGAAAGGCTCAAGCAAGATTTGACACTACCAGAAGTACCAGCTTAGCCATTCAAGTAAGCAGCTGTCTGGTCCAATCAATTGCTAACTCAAGATTATTACTGAATATTGGCACACTGCGATGCCTTCAGGTACCTGCAATGCACTGCAAAAAAAAATACTTTGGATATCAGGCTTGGGCTGCCGATAGGAATTTAAGCCTCATATTTGCTGCTACTTACTATTTAACAGGCTGAAACCAGAGCAAGGTGCTTACACTTCATCTATATTGCTAGCTTAGCTCATTTTTAGCATCCAACATCTCGATATGCCCATTTAAAAACTTTGTAAAGTACTGCTTGTAGATAAATGGTGTGCTCTGTATGAAAACTATAAGATTGCTGACCCACTCACAAGCGGAAGAAACAGTCATTAATTTAAATATGCTCCTCAATAGCCATAAATGGTATAAATCTACCGTGTGCACCAAATTTCTTTGCAAACCCAGGTATTACAAAGGAAAAGCATCATCTCTGTGCTGAAGAGCAGAACTATAGCAGGGACCCAGCTGCTCTATTACAGGCTGTCTGCAGAGACCTATGGGAGGGATGGAGACAAGACCTGTCACCCTGCACAAAGATCGAGAGCAGCAGTGACCAGTCTTTATTACCGGAAACAACTGAACAGTGGAAAGGTTTAACATAGGATTCCTGCATAGAACTGGAAGAAATACACAAAAGATGGCCATAGATGAGTAGGTTTTTTTTTTTTTTGTTCAGCCAGTGGGATAAAAAAGAAAAAACCCAACAGATTCACCTGTAATGGTTGTGTGCATTGGGCACAGGAAAAGCTGTATGTGGCAGCCATTTTGTTCAGGTCTCCAGTCACTTATGCCATTTTGTAATAAGAGAGACCTAGCTGCAGAGACCTGCCCCCTCCGTCCTCCTTTCAGTTCATACAATACACAAATTATTAGCTGATGCCAGAATCTCTTTATCAGAACTCAGAGAGGCCGAATCCACACTTTAGTCTAGAAACCATAATTAAACCATCAAAATCGTAAGCAGGAGCAATCCCAAAAACAAACAGATGCATGCCAGATCTCACCCATATGGTACGTTCCTTAGCTGAAGTCTCTAGCAATCCACATTTCTGTCTCTTCCTCTGGGCAGAATTCACAATCCCAGTGTATTTCATAACTCATGAATTAATAACAGTACAGCCAGAATAAGGACATATTTACCCCTCTCAGGTAAATTTTAGTGTTTTGAGTCCACACACTGCTACCCTAGAAGTACCAGGAACAGAATCCACCCAATTCCACTCCTGGGCAAACTGGGCATCCGAAACCTGTCATATCTATATTCATTCTGAAGGTAATTTAATGCTGGACCATCATATGCAAGTTAGCAGACTGTAACCTGTAGGCATTTAAAGAAACTTTTAGAAACTGTATCTGGGATACAGTCATAAACATAGTTGCATCCCAGCAGCCACACCGTAGACTGAATGATTGGTCAGATTAGTTCTGTCAACATCCCCCCTTACTGACAAGAAAAGGGAGCTACCCTTGCAGTAGTCAGCTCTCATGTACCATCAAACTGAGGAAGATCTGTCAAGTTATGAGAGCCAATATATCACCTTGCTCATTGACTGAAGTCTGTTGAATCCAGGACTTGCCAGTATTCTAATTTTTTACCCAGTTTGTCTTGCTGTTGCATTGTTGTCTCATTGTTTTCTCTGTAATATTTTTTTTCTGTAAATATTTTATTTGCACCATTTTTACCTTTCCATTATTAAACCATACTTTGAAAAGTGCTAAAACGGTCTCTAATGCCCTAATGCAAACTAAAGAATCCCTGTCTTTTGAAGAGCGCTACTGTAGCGTAAACCTCTGAATATACCTGCCTGTGGTGACAGTGTTTATTACAGATGTTTATTCTAAAATCACAGTTGCTATTGCTAACAGTGGGAACATTTCCTACTCATCGGTCCGACCTGCATTTGTCACATCACTCATCCACACCATCAAGGAGGATGAGGAGTCCACCTCACTGGGATACTAGATTCTGACAGCGGGACATGGCACTATTAGAATACCCTGATCAGTACCTACTGCTAAAAGTTTTACGACTTGTCCTATTAGTCGAACATGAAAGGCCACACTGATCCACATTCACCCAGTCCCTGCTTAACCAGCCAAATTTCGATCCATCTATGGCCAGATAAAACACACCAAGACTGAAGTAAGGATACATATGCCTCTTGTATTAGGCAATATTTGCTTATCCCTGAACTCAGCTTTATTGTTGCAGGTGACCGCGGAGAAAATAACAAGATAGACAGGTTCTGGTCAGTTTAGCAATTAGAACTTGATGCTGCAGGTGTCCCACGTTGGCTTTTAGACCAAGAACTGAGCTATCACATGAACGCTGATTGCTCAGTTCTTGGTCAGCTCTGACTGTCAGTTACCACTCTCTGCATTGCTCCTCCATCACTCACTGAAGCACCGGGCTGAGGGAGGGGGGACAGAACAGCTGCCAATTGGGCAGCTGGTTGGAATCCTGACAATATTGTTGGGATCCTTCCTGACGAATAGTTGACTCTTGAGTCACAGGAGAAGAAAAGTAAGTGCACTACTGTGACCCACAAGTGAAGGGTTTATTAATATGATGCATACCCGCATCTGTAAAAACTAGCCTGTTACTGCTAAGAACATGAAATGTAGAACATGTATATATATATATATTGACAAGGTGGACATGAACCCCCATACATAAAAGATTATGGGTCGTTTTGCTTTCAGCTAATAAAGACTGTGGTTCTCTGTGAGGAAAGCAGTAAGACTATGCAAGGGTTTGCAGCTCAGATGAAGTTTTGCACAGCAGACCATAAAAAAAAACTGCTCCCAAGATATATCCTGGATAGAATCAAAGGCATAATCACAATAAATCTGTAGCCATGGTGATGTAAATGTAAAAACACACTAAATGAACTGCAGAAAACTATCCCAGGCACTCCTACATATACAACATCTATCATGTGGGTGGATAGAAGTATAAATATATAGTACACTAGTGATCTGTCCTTCTGTTTGGAATTTAGAGTTATTACTCGGGGCACAGTGTTCAGTATAATGATCTAACATAGGCAAACCAATTTATAACATTTAAAGAGAACGTATAGCTTAGATTACATGCAAAAATAGATCGCCTTGTTTTGTTTTCAAAACCTTATCTTCCTCTATAATTTGTAGTTATATACAGTTAGGGCCATATATATTTGGACACAGGCACAATTATAGTTTCTCAGGTATTTAGCAAAACATTTTCAGCTATAGTTATATAATGGATATGGATGAAATTGCACACTCTCAGGTTTAATTTGAGGGTCTGTACATCCAAATTGGAGGAAGGGTTTGGGAATTACAGCTCTTCAGAGCAGGCATCCCCCCTTTTTCAAGGGACCAAAAGTAATTGGACAATTGAATATAATCATAAATAAAATTTTCATTTTTAATATTTTGTTGAAAATCCTCTACTGGAAATGACTGCTTGAAGTCTGGAACCCTTGGACACTACAAAAGACTGGGTTTCCTCCTTTTTGATGCTTTGCCAGGCTCTAACTGCAACTGTCTTCAGTTGTTCTTTGTTTGTGGCTCTTTCTGCCTTTAGTTTTGCCTTCAGCAAGTAAAATGCATGTTCAATGGGGTTGAGATCAGGTGATTCACTCGGCCATTGCAGAATATTCCACTTCTTTTCCTTCTAAAGCTCCTGGGTTGCTTTTGCAGTGTGTTTTGGATCATTGTTCATCTGTACTGTGAAGCGCCGTCCAATCGACTTTGCTGCATTTGGCTGAATCTGGGCTGACAGTATATCGCTACACACTGCAGAATTCATCCGGCTGCTTCTGTTTTCTGTCACATCATCAATAAACGCCAATGACCCAGTGCCACAGGAAGCCATGCATACCCATGCCATCACACTGCCTCCACCATGTTTTACAGATGACATTGTGTGCTTTGGATCATAAGCTGTTCCAAGCCTTCTCACACTTCTTTCTTCCCGTCATTCTGGTACAAATTAATTTTAGTTCATCTGTCCAAAGAATGCTTTTCCAGAACTGGTCTGGCTTTTTAGATGTTTTTTATCTAATCTGGCTTTTCTATTCTTCAGGTTTATGAATGGTTTGCACCTTGTGGGGAATCCCCTGTATTTGCTCTTGTGGATACAAGTCTTCTCTTGATTATAGACTTTGGCAATGATACGCCCACCTCCTGGAGAGTGTTCTTCACTTGTCTGGATGTTGTGAATGGGTTTTTCTTTACTATAGAGAGGATCCTGTGATCATCCAGCACTGTTGTCTTCCGTAGACGTCTATGCCTTTTTATGCGGTCTTCTTTCCTCAGAATGAACCAAACTGTTGATTTGGCCACTCCAACTGTTGCTGCTATCTCTCTGATGGAGTGGTTTCATTTCGAAGCCTTACAATGGCCTGTTTCACTTGCATGGACAGCTCCTTT